GGACTCATTAGACTTAAGGGCCTCCCTATAGGTTTTAGGTTCGTTAAGCTCAAGGGTCTCAAACACAGAGAAAGCAAACATAGAAGTATCACACGCATGGAAAGCAAAATCAGGCATGCTATCAGCAGTTCTTCTAATTTCTCTCCTACTTCTATCTCTAACAAGTTGGTAATCATGCAAAACATTATCACTAGGATCAGCACTCTCATCATGCGATTCATTGTCATTTGAATGCACATGAGAATGCTCCACCTCACTCGAAGTGGTGGTATTATCATGCTCAGAAGAATCATGCAATTCAGAAGAATCATGCAAATTAGAAGAATCATGATTAGCAAACAAAGGACTAGCAGCATATGGTATGGACTCCACCTCAACAGGTGTACTACTAGGGCTCGACTCAGAATCAGGAACTGACTTAACCAGACAAGGGAACTCGGATTCATTGAAAACAACGTTTCTACTTACCACAACCTTGAAACCTACCTGGTTCCTATCCCAAACCCTGTACCCCTTCACACCCTCAGGATAACCTAAGAAGACTCCTTTCTTAGACCTAGGATCCAATTTGTCACCTTGTTGGTGCACATACGCAGCACACCCAAACACTCTAAGATTAGACAAATCAAGGGGCTTGTTTGAAAAAACAGATTCAGGGCATTTCCCACCCAAGGGAACAGAAGGAGACCGGTTAATCAAGTAGACAGCAGTATTGACTGCTTCACCCCAAAACTTTTTAGACAAACCGGAGGTGGCAAGCATACTCCTAACCTTATCTAGAACAGTCCTATTCATTCTCTCTGCTATCCCATTTTGTTGGGGAGTATAGGGCACAGTTTTGTGCCTTCTAATCCCACAATCAACACAGAGTTGGTCCATATCCTTATTGCAAAACTCTAATCCATTATCGGTCCTAAGGGTTTTGACCATCTTACCGGTTTGATTTTCTACCAGGGTTTTCCACTCCCTAAATTTCACAAAGACATCGGACTTATGCTCAAGAAGACGGACTCACACCTTCCTAGAAAAATCATCGATAATGGACAGAAAATATCTCTTACCCCCGTGGGTAGAGACACTAGCAGGACCCCACACATCTGCATGAACATACTCTAACACAGAGGTACACTTAGTGGGATTAGGATAAGGGGAAGAGGGGAAAGTAACCTTATGCTGCTTGCCTAACACACAAGATTCACAGAAAGGGATGGAGGACACAGAATCCTTACCAAAACAACCAGATTTATGCAAAATCTCTAAACCCTTATTACTCATGTGTCCTAATCTATTATGCCACAAAGCAGTTTTATCAGAACTAACAACATGAGCAGAATCACAGAAAGGCTGAGCATGGCACACATACAAATTATTCACCTTTTTTGCCTTAAACAAAACAAGGGAATTTTTCAAAACTTTCATGCACCCATTTCCCCATTTACCCTCAAGCCCACTACCCTCAAAAGCAGCGACAGAAAACAAGTTATGACGCAAATCAGGGACATGCCTCACATTTTTCATAGTAAACACAGTCCCATTATCAAACTTTAAGCATACATCACCCACCCCATGTATTTTGCATTTCTTATTATCAGCAAGAGACACAAAACCATCATTGCAAGAATCATAAGAAGCAAACAGAGATCTAAAAGGTGTCATATGATAAGTACAACCAGAGTCAATCAACCACTCATTTTAAGTCATGCTACTCAACACAGAATTTGCAGAATCACAGACCATAAAAACTTCTTCATGCAAGTTATTATCATCTACCACATTAGCATGTTCAGACTTCTTAGGATGGGGACAATCCTTAATGAAGTGACTAGAATTACCACAATTATAGCACACTCTCTTCTTAGACTTACCTCTCTTCTTCCCCGGGTCATTGTTATTGGTCTGGTTCTTATTGTTGCTACCCTTCTTATGGTTTCTAGATCTACTCTTAGACCTACCCCTCACAAGCAACGCTTCACCAGAATCCCTAGATTGACTGTTACTACCCATCGAGTGTCTAAGGTCTAACTCCTTACTCCTTAATCCATTAACGACTATATCTAACGAGATATCGTCTCTACCATACTTTATGGCAGATTTGACGTCATTGTAAGAGTCAGGGATGACATTAAGTAACACTATGGGTGTGTAGTCATCTATGTGTTTATCACTGGCTTGCTTAATGTTCTGAATAAGCTTGTTAAACACATCTAGGTTCTCATCTATGTCTTTGGTCAGGTCAAGCCTAAACCTAAAGAACTTCTCAAGCAAAAACAATTTACCAGGCAAAGAAGTATCGGTATACAACTTATCTAACTTGTCCCACAACTCTTTTGCGGAATCTATAATACCCACCTTCCTGAGCACTGAATCAGAAAGGTTTAGGTAAATAGAGGAACAAGCAGTTTCATTCATCTCAACACGCTTAGCAGCATCCTCAGAGTCTAAATAGAGACCGGTCACGGCTCTATAGACTTTCTGTTGGATCAACACACATTTGATTTTCTGTTTCCAGATATCAAAATCTGTCTTTCCGTTAAATGGAAGCATGCCATATTGATTGACAGCCATATTAACAGGAAAGCAAGCACAACACGCAAGAGAGTAAATAAAAAATTTATCAGGCTATCAACCGGTACGAAGCAACTAGCACGAACAAGCCGAGAAGACCAATGAACACAAGGCTCGGGTACAATCTCCTTGTTCTTTCGTACAAGCACAGATAAAAAAAAATTATTTACTCTACAGACAGATAAATGATTAATTATAACCTATAGGGCTATCAATTGTACGAAGCATCTAGCACGAACAAGCCGAGAAGACCAATGAACACAAAGTTCGGGTACAATCTCCTTGTTCTTTCGTACAAGCGCAAATAGGCTAGAATTAAATCAACAAACAAAGAGACATGATTTAAAACTAATCCGGACAGAAATATTTCCAACTTCGGACAACAAGTATCCAAACAAATATTCTTAACCGGAGAGTTTATCCACGAATCAATCAACAGAAAAAATCAAAATAAAAAATCCAACATGTGATTAAATTTAAACCGGAAGAAATATTCACAACTTTGGACAACGAGTATCCAAACAAAAATATTCTTCACCGAAAAATTAATCACAAACCAACAAGGAATCACAATTTAAACAAACAAGTAATTGTAATTCAACTTGAAATTAAAAAATGAATGAACTACGAATAAAAATCACACAAAGGATTAGTAAACGTACCTGGGGCCGGGCACAGCCGGCGTCCTAGACCACGCAGGTCAGCAGCGGGGAGCGGGGGGGAAATAAATCCGGTGGCACTCCGGTACACCAAGGGTGTTCAAGCCAATTTACCTGAGTGGGGCCCGAGGTTGGGTTACCCGACTTACCGTAGGCAGCGTGGGCTGCTGTAGGGCGCGGCGGCAGGGACTCGGACAACAGCTTTGGCTCCGGCAGAGGCTCTGGACGGCAGCTTGGGCTCCTCCAGTGACCTTCAATCGACGGCAGCAGCACTCCCTGGACCTCCGGCAGGCGACTCCAGGCGACGGGACGGCGGTAGACGGCGGCGTGGCGGCGGCAGACCCAACCCGGCTCTGATACCACTGTAAGTACTCAATATCCAGCTCAGGTCTCAACCACTTTCATCCACAAAGGATGAATTTCACACACAAGGCTCAACAAGGGGAGAGAGGGGCGTCGGCCAGCGGATATTTCCGGCCAGTTCGTAGGAGCACCCACAGAGAGGCTGAACAGAGATGCAAGGGTTTCGGCACATCCAAATCGAAGACAAGGAAGGGAATAAATAGGCCAAGCTTGGATGCCATACATGGAAACTTGCCTTAGGAAGAAGATACGCAGTCAAAGGCGCAAGGATGGAAAGCGCCGGTAAGAAGGAGCCAAGCCGTTCGCAAGGATCAGAAAAGACGGGGCCGACAAAAGCTAAAAAGTAATGGGCTGGAACCTCCTCAAGGTTAAATGGGCTTAAAGAACTACCGGGCCAATACCAACACAACCAATGCCAGATCTCTCTACCTCGCACTCCTCCGATTTTCAAATTTTATTCGTCTGAATCTGGTCCGGTTGCTGTGGTGCCAAGTCTGGGTCTTCTCCTCTCTTCTTTGTATCCATGTTGCCTCTTTGCTTCTTCTTTTGTTCTACAAGAATTTGTTTGAGCTTTTAGTGTAGTTTTTACTTCTTCCTCATGTTTGAGTTGTTGAAATAAAACTGGCTTGGTTTACATTGGCCATTTTTTTTGAAAATGTCATTAAAATGGCATTCTTATTCTTTAAAAATTTCATATTTTTCTTTGAAAAATGCCATTAAGATGACATTTTCGATTCATGTTGACATTCTCATAAAAAGTTGACATGAGCAGTGGCGTCGATTAGATCTGCTCTAGCGGTGGTCGGATCTGTAGTGGAGACAGACAGATCTGCAGGGGGTGGCCGGATCTGCGGTGGAGGCAGACGGATCTGCTAGGGGTGGCCAGATCTGCAGGGTCGGCAGCTGGCGGCCAGCGGAGGCCATATTTGGCCCAATATAGGTAGGCGGCGGCCAGATTTACGGCAGCAGCCGGCAGCGGCCGGCCGGCGGCTGGTCCAGCGGTATGAAGGTAGCAGTCTATTTTATCAAGCTTCGGGGGTATTTTTGACCAACTACAAATAATAACTTCTATTTAGGAATTTTTTTAACTTTAGTTCTATTTTGACAATTAAGAATTTAGGTAAATCTCCCTAATTATAATTATTTACAAAGAAACCACATAAAAATCGTGTATTTTTAATGTTCTTAATTTTTGACTTTGCACCTCATTTTATTATCAAGAATATGTTGAAGGCCAACAAAATTGTTAATGAAGGGGCATTTTTGTCTTTTCATATGGAGTTGGGGTGCAAAAACAAATTTTTTTAAAAATGAGGTGCAAAGTCAAATTTCATAATAAAATGGGATACAAACTCAAATTATTCCTAAAAAATTAAGAACATTAAAAATACACGATTTTTATGTGGTTTCTTTGTAAACTCAAATTATCCCAATTTTTTATTAGAGAATCGTTGAAAGAAGCACCATATCGTCTCTCCTAGTCTCCTCTGTGAACAGCTCAAAAGCACTCTCCCAGTCACCTGAGCCGAGCTTCTCACAGCTCTCCGCCCCGTTCCCATTTCGATACAATGCCGATCAACCCTGATTCCACGCCGCCTCCGAGGATCGGAAAGATCGGCCCCTACACCGTCTTCATAACTCCTCCATCCACCCCTTCACCCCACACTCCTTCCAAGTCCATGGCTTCTCCGATGCAATCACCGACCCCGGCAAAGATCCATCCGTCGGAAGCGGCGCTCAAGACTCCACCACCGGTCATGGTACCCCCCAAACAATATGACAACCGCTCTACCAAGCCCCGCTCGAGTACTGGGGTTTTCTGGGACGCTGTAGCTAAAGTTCAAAACGGTTCGGTCTACTGGAACAACTCTAATTATTATCATCGTCTATTATTATTATTGACCCTTGCCATTTCTTCTGTTACTGTAATTTCAGCTTATAAATTTATCACATACTTAGTTTGCTGATTGGTTTAAATTTTTAGCGCACGCAACTCTGGATGAGAACGTAGCGTATTGGTTCGGGTTGAATCAATCAAAGTATCAGTGGGCGCTCGATGATTACTACGAGAGCAAGGGAATTGTAAGAATTTTGTCTTCTCCTGATCAAACTGAATAATTGCATGACTAGTGCCTGCTATTCAACTTTACTCACTTCGATATAATTACGAGTATTAATTATGCCTTATGAATTGATGTTTTTGGAAGAGAAAAATGAACAAGATATGATACAATTGGTGTAATAGAAAAGAGCAAGTTGACTAGCAACATTTTGATCACCTGTGATGTGAAAACACTGAAGGCATTGTTTGGCTAATCTTATTATGAGCATAGAATAAATCTAGTGCCTGTAATGGAGCAAATAATGATGTTATTTGTCATGTATTTCCTTGAAATAATGGTGTGGGGCCATGTGGGTCAGTGTTGTATCCAGAAATTATTGTGAGGGGTGAGTTCATACTACTCACTTCATCCCATAAAAATCTTCTCACTTATCTTTTGGGATTTCCCAAAAAATTATTCTCATTTCCCTTTTTGGAAAGTTATGTGTCATAACATTCGTTTACATTTTTCTTACTTAACTACAATCATACATTTACACTTAATTTTCACTTTCTTAAACTCCAATCCAAATAATACCAGGAAGAGTTTTATGAGACGGAGAGAGTATATAATATTTCACGCATGTCACAAACAGTTGAACACTTTAAGAAAAATATTACAAAATTCTTTATAATTAAAAACTAAACGGTCAGCGAAAAAACATGAAATCATTCTTAAAAAAATTTCACTATATGAGAAATAAGTTTGACACAAATTTTTTAATTTTTTGATGTTATGTTAATAAATAAATAAATAATTTGAATAAGGGACATGTAGTGTATGTATTTAGAATCAATGTAAATTTTGAATGCATGATTATATGTATATATATTAAGTTACTTTAAGTTTGATTAAAACTTTTAAAAAGGAAACAAGGTAGATAATGGATGAAAAAATAAAGTATGGAAGAAAAAGGGGGAGAAGGGATTCGAACACCCAACCTGAGGGTAAACTAACGCAAGGACCACAGTTTACGCTACACTACTTCGTACTTTACTTTCAATTCACGCAGTTACATTATAAGATATGTAAATTCAGTACAAAAATATATGTATAATTAGATTTTTAAATATATATATATGGTGGTTGGGTGGGGGTTGAGTGGGGGCAGCTGCCCCCTGCCCCCACCCTGGATACGCCACTGGTGGGGGTCGCCCCTTGAATTCACTTGAAGTGTGACGATCAATGATTGCCTGAACCAACCCTTAGTCCCTTATGCATCATTGTAATGTTGATAGATCATATTTCTTAAACAAGATTAACGTCCACAAAGTAAGTGGGGTCAGCATGATTTTTAAGAAAATATTGGTGATGTTGGTTAGATGACAGATGTGCCGATTTTGAAGAAAGAAGAAAAGGAAACTAGAGTCCACCAAGCAAAAGGTTGAAATAATAGATAAATCAAGTAAAAAATGGTGTACAAATTAGGATTGTGAGCATTATTTTAGAACAAACTAAATAGAATGTGGATCCTAAATGAATAAAATGGGGCATTAGGATTAATATATTTCTATCACATTATTAACTATTATAATGTGAAAGATTGGATATAAAACATTTAATGTTTTTCTAAGTCTAGTCTAGAAGTTGAAGTATTTACTGAACTTGCATATGCTAGCCATTGTTGACTTGGAGCATATTGGTTTTTGACTTGATATTTTCTTTTAGCCAGGTTATAAATTATTTGGATTTGTGTAGTTTCTTAGACATAGATGATGAGATCTGTATAATCGAGGATTTGAGGAATACCCTTAAGGTAGAGGATCATTTAACATCATGGTGTCCAATCAAGTGGTCTTCATTTCCTTGTTGCCGGTTTAGATCCTTTGTTGAGCTTAGCATATCATTTGACTTTTTATCTGTTCAAGATTAATCATTTACACCATCTATGGTATCTGTTAGGCAGAAATTACAATACAATGTTGGACTGACCTTGTTTATTGACTGGTTTGGCTCAAGTTTCTTATCTACAATACAGCGTCTTTGATTACATGCTCCGTGCCTTTCTTATTACTCGTGGTTTAATTAATATCAATACGAGCTTTTTAACAGTTTCTAATTTATGATACAAGAAATTTGAATGAATCTTAAATTCCATGTTCCAAACCAAGCGTGTCATGTCTATGCTGCTACAATTTTATTTTCTTGATTGAAATGCAAAACAACGATTTCCACAGGATCCAGCGGAGGCAAAAGCTAGAGCTATAACAAGCAAAGTAGATAGTGTTTAACATGCCTATTTTGCCGGGTAATGTTTAAGCACACTGAATAAAGATGGTCCAATACCCCCCCCCCCCCCCCCCCCCCCTCCCTTCCCCAATTAATTAGTTGCACTGGATTAATGCAGGTCTATCTCGAAATGCTGTCTGCAAAGCGTTCCCAACAAGTAGATGTAACATATGCATTAGCAGTTCTTGTGTACTAAAGAGCCCATTTGTCCACCAATGCCCTAGAGTACGGCTGTTGATTTTTTATTAGCTGCAGCCTGCAAGGATGCAGCGACTAAATATTTTGTGGTGTGTTTTTGCTTTTGGCATTGACCCATCTGAATCTTTCTTCAATTTGCTTGAAGCAATTGTTTGTTAATAAACATGTTGTATGAGTAGCGCATGTGAAATCTGATTTCTTTCCCTTTATTTTTGAGAAAAGTGACTGGTTAAGTGCTCGAATTTGTCTCTCGTGGAGTCGCGGACGAAGTACACTAACTGTTCTGTTTAGATTTCTCTAGTGGAGTCTCTACGTTACCTCCCGTTAATTATACTTTGACATGTCTAATGCAATAGTATAGTGTATATGGACAAATTTAGATGCCTTGTAAAGCCCAAGCTGTGTACTGTATACACCCAAAGACAAGTTTAGATTAGGGGTGGATTCGGGCCGGGCCGGGGCCGGCGGTTCTGAATAGGTGGACCCGGGACCGGCCCGGGTAGCCATCGGGTCCGGGCCGGGCTGGGCCTCGGCCCGGGTAGTATATCTCTTATAATAAGTGTACTTGTTGGATTTATTGTAATCTTTTACATTATGTGAAATGCAATAAAGTAAAAATTTATAAAATCTTTGATAAAATGGTTACTTTCCTTTTTCGTCCGTTCCAATTAAAACTTCCACTTTCCCTTTTTGTTAAAGAATTTGTGGTTCACAACATTTCTTACACATTTCTCTCTCATCTGCACAACTCTCCACCACACAATATCCACTATCTTAAACTTTGTGCCAAACCCATTTGGAAGTTAAAATGGGAACGGAGGTAGTATTATTATTTTTTTGCTTACCTACCTATCCCTGACCCCCCTCACCCCAGCCCCCAAACCCTCCCAAACCCCTCCTAAACATTAAGCCCAACCCGGATGGAGCCCAAAAAAATGAAAAAAAATCAATTTGGCCCGAACTGGGCCCGAGCCTCCTTTTTACCAACCCAAGCCTGCCCCGCTCAGCCTAAATAACCGGGCCTTAGGCCGGTTTTGGGCTTGAAGAACCGGGCTGGGCCGATTCCACACAGTGGCGGGTCGGGCCGGTTCTCGGGTCGGGTGGCCCGAACCGAGTCCACCAATAGTTTAGATACCTTGCCACTTTTATCTCTTAGGCAAAAATCAAGATAATTGAGTAGTCCTTTGCACCATTAAACTTGACTAATTTTGACTTGCATGTGGAATAATAAATAAGGAATTTGACAAAATTTTGTGGGACTGGGGAAGATTAGGTTATTCAAGTAACCATTTTATCAAAGATTTTATAAATTTTTACTTTATTGCATTTCACATAACGTAAAAGATTACAATAAATCCAACAAGTACACTTATTAGAAGAGATATACTAGCCTTTTTAAAACTAATGAAGCATTAATAATACTCCTATCGACAATTTGCTATAGACTAAAAATGATTTAACTTCATAAATCATAAAGTATAACCAAAAAATATAAAGTTTCATAATGGTAAAAAAAGACTTCTTTGTAATTTATCATAAAAAAATTCAAAAAGTTTCACTGAGAAGTTCTTTTTTGTAAGTTAGCCTTTTAGTTTACTTGAAACTTTTAAAGATTTTTATATAATAATAAAAAGCTAGAAATTACTAACTTTTTGCGTGTCAAATATAGGCACGGACTCGGTGCGGGCCGGGCCGGGCCTGACCGGGCTTTTTTTGGGAACCTTGAGGCCCAAAATCGGCCCGGGTAGCTACCGGTTCCGGGGCGGGCCGCGCCTTGGCCGGCTACCTATTTTTTTTTGATATTCTAATTACTTCCTATCCCCCCCACACCCCAAACCCGTCCAAAACATCCATCCCAACGGCCTAACTCATTTACATTTTTTCAAAATGTTGAAAAAAAATGGCCCGAAGCGGGCCTGAACCGATCGGGCCGATTCATGGTTTGGGAGGCTCGGGACCCGTCCCATAATAGTACTGGGCCAGGTGGCCCGAACCGGATTATGACCCGGGTATCGGGCTGGGCCATGCCAAAACAGTATCAGGCCTGGGCCGGTTTACCCTGCCCGAGTCCATCCCTAGTCAAATATGTAGATAGTCAAACAAACAATATCTTTCAAAATATGAAAAGCTCTTTTTTTTGCAGGAACATAAAACCAAAACTGACAATCACACAGAAACAGTTTGGGCAAGAAATGAGTAACTCGATTCACTGATCAACCCACATGAGATCTTGATGCTATTCAAATTAGCAATCATAAATCTAATATCATCCGCAACCAATCCGAAACCCGAAGAGTCCTTAACATCTTGGATCTCCTCATAGGTCACTTGAACCGCATCGGACTCTACCTCCAGATTACTCCCTCCAACCACAAGACAATGATCATGCATTCATGCTAATGCAGCTTCATGAACCCCCAACATCTCCGCTTCCTTCGCTGCCAACTTGCTATTCCACGGGCTTTGCTCTTGCTGTCACAAATTCTCCTGTCGAGTTACGAATAACCCAATCAAGACCGCACCTTTCCCTCCAGAGAGTAGCATCAACATTCAGCTTCAAGCGACCACCATCCGGCTGGCTCCATCTTTCCCCTCTCTAGCAATGCTGACCAACCCGATCCCCAACCTGCTGCCAGCTTCTTCCCTGTGTCCTTGATGCAACTGGGAGTCTCGCCTCATGTAGTTGAGCTGCCTTCCGGGCTTCCAACAAAGCAAAAACCTTTGCTGCCACATAACCATTCTCTTCATGAGGCGAGGAAATAACCATGCACATAAACTACAAGTATAAAAAACAGAGTGTAGCCACACCAATAAACTCTCCACCCCGCTTATAGGCCTCTCCCATCCCACTCGACTCCAAACTGCCCTAGCTTTCGGACCATGCACAAATAAATGCAGTAGCGTTTCCACCTCCCTTCCACACAACCCGCACTCACTCGGACATTAACCATTCTTCTCCGAATCAAAGCACTCAACCCCTCTTCAACCGGAATAAATAAGTACGGGAAAGTGTGTCTAATTAGGGACATCAACCATCTCCTCGGAATGACGGGACTTAATTAAATAATCGGAATATAATAAGAGAAAAACATTCTGCAAAAAACATTCTGCCTAATCAAAACATCCATACACTCCGTAACATTTTTACTTATTTCAAAAAACATAAAATCCCTTTTTTAAAGGACAAAATAGTGAAATACAAGAGACAAAAACATTCTGCAAAAAATTAGGAAAACATTCCTCAAATTTAAACAAGCCTGCGGCATGAGCATTGCTTGTTGGCGAAAACAACCAAAAGAACAAAACTCAGGTAGAATCGTGGGTTTGAATCCGCCATGGCGGCTTGTTCCTGCTCCACTCATCTCTCCCGACTGAAGGGCCTATACACCATCGCATTGCTCCTTCTCTTCCTCCTCATCAGCTTGTTCTATTTCAACAGGCTGTCTCTCGAGCCCAAATTCACAACCTACAGAGATCTATTCTCAGAGTCCCGCCGCCCCGCCTCTCCCCCTTCCCCTCGAATAATTACCGCCGCTCTGTTACAAGACGAGTATAATGTACCCGCCGCTTCGAGCCCAGATTTCGATAAAACTGATGAACAACCAACTGTACCCGTTTCTTCAAAAACAATGGGAGTGGGAGTGGCAGAATCGAAAGATTACGAGGTAGCGAGTATTGTGACGTCCGTGCCGTCAATGTCTGATTCAGATGAGATGGACATTTCTACTAAGGATGAGAGTGGTCGAGCTGATACTGCCCAAGGGTGTAATTTCTACAAAGGGGTTTGGGTGAAAGATGATGATCAACCAATTTACAGTCCTGGGTCTTGCCCCTATGTGGATGAGGCATTTGACTGTCAACGCAATGGCAGGCCGGATTCACAGTATCTGAAATGGAGATGGAAGCCGGATGGATGTGATCTTCCAAGGTTAATTTTCTTTCATACCTTCTATGTAGAATGCACTGCTCTCAACTTGAAATGTTTCAATTCATACGATCATTCTCTGGCTATGACTTGCATTTCTTCTTTGTGATTCTCGAGTTGTTGCCTTAGTGGAACTAAAACTTTGAGTTAATTGTACTATAAAAGACTTCTTGGAGAACTATAAATTACAAAAATACTCCCTACCTCCCTAAAATTTTGTGAACTTTGCTAATATGGTTGTTCTAAAAAGATTTGTCACTTTTTTGGAACTAAATCTGTGACTTGTAGTATAAATCTCATCACAACTTATTCAATTCCTCATGCCCCGTTCCGGTCAAGCTTGGCAAACCAACATGGGAAATATGGAGTGTGTTAAACGTTCTTTAAGAGAGTAGATCTGCTCAAACTTGGCAACTCAACTTGGGAAAGATGGAGTGCATGTTAAGTGTTCTTTATGCAATTAGATTGATCAAGGCAGTTTTTTGTAGTATGTCCTCTTCTATTCCATTAGCATTTACTTCACACTCCCACTATGCACTTCTGTTGCACTCTTTATCAGTCCTTCCATCAAAATCCACCGCAGCAAAACAAGAGAGGAAGATGGTTGATTATTTGCTTGCAGTTAATTTCCTGTTAGAAATCAGAACTACCCTATTGACTTTACTCGGGTTTTTATGTGAATTCAATCTCTGCATTTTCTAACTTGCCTGATCTGAGAAAATTTATCTCAGGTTTGTAATAAACATTGCTGATTTAAAGTGGTACTTGCAGGTGAAATTGTGATTAATTAAATAAAACATATACTTCTATATAATGTGCACATGCTTGTTGCTTTCTCTGCAGGTTTAATGCAACAGACTTTTTGGTGAGATTAAGAGGGAAAAGGCTGATGCTTGTTGGAGATTCCATGAACCGCAATCAATTTGAGTCTTTGCTATGCCTTCTTCGTGAAGGACTTGTCAATAAGAGTAAAATGTATGAGACACATGGATATAAAATAACAAAGGGAAGAGGCTACTACATTTTTAAATTTGAGGTGATTACAACGTCCAGCAGGCATGATTCTGCATACAACTTCCTGTCAAACACACTTCATTTTTATCAACATATAATTTGATGGTCCAATTTGTTTTGCTCATAAGCATCAACTATTAGTTTTAACCATCGGATCATGTCAAATATTTAACTTTACCCGAAGAAAGATGCCATTTTTAATGATAAATTAATTTGAACTGTTACATAAAGTGTAAGAGTGAAAAGTAACAAAATAATTTATATGAAATTATTTTTTGACACGACCCAAAATGTGTTCTAAATCGTTGAATTATTATTTAGCCTAAACTGAAGTGCCTCTATTGGGAGTCCCGTCAGATGTGGTTGAGGTGAGTAGTACCCCCTCTCTTAAAACAAAAAAATCAAATCCTATGATTCAAATAATAATAATAATAATTAAATGAAATCGGTGTTTTATCGCTATTACCCCCCCTCTCAATTTAATCTTCTTATATTCATTTTAGGACCATCCCTGAATAAAACTTTCCTTTCTTATTTGACTAAAAAAATATTATCCATTTACACTACAACCCTCAAATAGTATCCTCTTCTGAGATATTATTTACCCCACCCAATAAACAAGGAATATCTGAAATTTTAGCAGAACAATCTGATTTCCTAGAAACGTAAAAGTCAAACCAGGAAATTTGTAAGGAATGAGGGAGTGTGATGGGTGAGTTGCCTTATTTTATATTGCATCAAAACATACTAGCTACAGGGATATTATTACAATGAATTAAACTCTGATGGTCTGACAGGATTACCACTGCACAGTAGAATTTGTGCGTTCTCATTTTCTTGTCAGAGAGGGAGTGCGCTTTAATGCACAAGGTAACTCAAATCCAACTTTATCTATTGACCGTATTGATAAATCAGCTCCTCGCTGGAAGCGTGCTGACATTCTCATTTTCAATACTGGACATTGGTGGGCCCATGGAAAGACAGCCAGGGGGTATGTTAACATGCCCTTTTCCTAGCAAGGCATTCCGTACAAAAAGATTAGGAAGTGAATAATTCTCTTTTAACATATTTACCTATATGTGTGTATCTCTCTTTTGTTCATCTTCATATTGCACTATAGATTTACTTGCTTCTGGATGATTAAAGGTTAAATTACATATGATTGTAAATCACTACCCATGAAGAGCCCTTAACTACTTTATAATATAGCATGCTTCTGATAAATAGCTGACAATTAGCATTTTGTAATCTTTAACCATCTTATAGGTTGGTTTGCAAATGCTTCAACATGTCCCTTTAGTTCAATGTGTTCCTTATACGTAGACCAGCTGAATCTAAACAAGCTACTCTAAATTTGTGGTGTCAAACAAGCAAACAAACCACAGTCAAACTAGACTTTAATTATATAATATTAAGACTTGATATTCCATTTGCCGGATAAGAGTTGTACATTGTCTTACTAATATTTGGCTTAATAGTTAGGCTGTTATGGGCTGCTATGGGACAAATAGTCTAGCAATATGGAAGGCTTTGATATGAGTAATTAGCTTTGCGTGTATGTGATATATTGTCCTATGTTACAGGGAAAACTACTATAGAGTGGGTGATTATATTTACCCAAAGTTTGACGCCATGGAAGCTTATAAAATAGCTTTGAAGACCTGGGCAAGTTGGGTAGATGAACATCTGGGGCAGAAAAAAATAGTATTCTACAGAGGCTACTCATCTGCTCATTTCAGGTGCCTTGACAAAGTTATTTTTTATCACAAACTTTAGTTTTCCACTGCTCATATAATGTTTTAAGCTTTTGAATGAATTTTAGCACTTATTCTACATTTCATAGCCTGTTTGGAATTACTTTTGAAACAAGTAAATTGCTAAAAGCATTTGTGCCATATTTGAAAAGTAATATTTTGTTGTCTTTTTTTGAGAAAAAGAAAAGACTTTACATAAGTTACGATGAGAAGCTTCATCTTTAGCTACCTTAATTTTACTTTGTATTTTGTAATCTTTTTTCTGTACAAGAAGCTGCATCTTTAACTTTTAATGAGTTGATTTGAGATCTCTATTGTGCCTCGCTGCTTCACGGAAAATTTGAAACCAACTTTTTTTTAACTCCTTGTGATATTCTTTACTCTTCTAAATTTTGAAGATTCCAATTTTTTTGATAATGTAAAACTCATTTTCATTCAGAATGGGTAAATGGGTAACATCTTTATAATCGTTTAGCGTTATGAGTTTATGTTTCCATTTAAAATCGTTCTTGATTGAGTGACTTTGAATACTGTTTTTGAAATGCTTATATCTACAAAAGTGAGTGTATATATTTTCGAACACCAATTGCTTTTCTAAGCTGATGTTGCAATTCTGCTACAATCAAGAAAAACTGGTGCTGCTTTCTTTCTTTTTTATGAAAATTCCAATCCCTTAAAAATATACTGCTTGCTTTGAACTAACCTAAATAATCAAAAAAGGCAAAGAAAAAAATCTCTGCGTATGTGCTTGTTAGTAGAGTAAAAACGTTTTGGAATTTCAAATTAGGGGTACTATGTTTTTATTTCCTCAATAGCTGTAGGTAGTGCCAAGCTTGGAAAATATTACCAGTTATATACGACCATTAGTGGCTTTGTTTTTAAAGCTTAATAGTAATTACTCCTATTTAGAGAATAAAAACCTAGTATTCCTATTTTGGATTTCACAAATGGTTTTGCTCCTATCCAGGGCAATTTCTTAAAAGGGAAAATTCCGGAATAGGAGTAAAAACGTTTTGGAATTCAAAAATAGGACTGTCATATTTTTATTCTCTAAATAGGAGTAATTATTGCCAACTTTGGAAAATATTGTCATTTTTAAAGTTTGGTAATGCCAAAACATGACATTAATTGCTCATATTAAGTGAATGAAAACATGATAGTCCTATTTAGAAATTCACAAACGTTTTTACTCCTATTTAGGCCAATTTCTTTTTCTTAAACTATTTTGGTTTCATATCAAGATGGTAGGAGGCAATTATGTCTAACAAAGTTGCGCACTTTGAAGTTGATGGCTTTTCTCTGATGTTTATGCAGCAGGAAAGGAAGACCTTTTAGTTTCGTGTGTTAAGGTTTTTATTTTGATTGTAATTTTGGAAACAGAGGCGGGGATTGGGATTCTGGCGGTTCCTGTATTGCTGAAACTGAACCAGTTTTGAACGGAACCATCCTTGATAACTATCCTCCCAAAATGAAGATAGTGGATGAAGTGATCAAAGAAATGCAGACACCTGTGGTCCTACTAAATGTGACGAGGTTGACCAATTTCCGCAAAGATGGCCACCCATCTGTATATATGAAAAAGGCAACTAATGGCAAAAAGGTTTCCAGCAAACGGCAAGATTGCAGCCATTGGTGCCTCCCAGGAGTCCCTGATGCTTGGAATGAGCTCATTTATGCATCTTTAGTTTTGAAACAAATGTCTACATTCAACTAATTTTAACAAGGTTCGTTTGATAGCAAGCAACCCTTTCCAATCCCATATTGGAGTGGCTTCTTTTTTAGCTCTCCCGAACTGGGTATTTTCCCTTTTTTGGAGGGGGGGGGGGGGGGGGGGGGGGGGGGAGGGGGATTCCCAAGCGTTCAGATTGTTCCATTTGGGGGAAGAGAGAACACCTACATTCCTGGATCAAGGAGTATGAGTCGTCCAGGTTGTACAACTCCATGTAATCTGATGAAGGTGGCTTTCAAACATGTGGATCTGTGATGATGGCTTGCTTAAAATAGTCTGAGAGATTTGTAGTATAATGTTCCTCACTCTAACCGCCCATATGGTGTAGTGTTTTCACATTTTGAGAAATGTTTACACAATTTATTGCAAATACTTTAAACAACCAGTTAGCCACTTAGCCTCACTCTGCTAAAGGGATTCCTTTTTTTCTTGAACCAATGCTTTAATTTACAAGGTTGTAGAACATATGTGAACAAATCTTGAAGAAACCAATGTTCTGTGGAGAAGTAAATTAACTGTACCAGGTAACAATTTGATGGAAAGATCTTTGTACTGTCAATTATCATCATCATCCCACACTCTCCTCTATGGGTGGACACAAACTGTGGGACCGGTTCCTCCCCAGAGGTATGAAACGTAGCTAGAACACGTAATACTGATCTGGGGCTGGTGGGTAGACCTAACAATTTTCGCGGACTAGGAAATACTCCATTACTAGTTCCAGATCAGGACTGATAGGTGTCGGTTCAATTTCCAAGAAATTGGCTGTTCTGATATGGGGTTTGAACCTTGTTTATGGTTACTCACTCCCATTCTACTATGTAATACGGAGTATGTATTGAAATGGATTTATTTTTTGGGATTGGATTGTTGGTGATTTTAGTATCACCAGGTTCATTTTAGTGTAATGGAATTTACAGATTACCAATGGAGTTCAAGTTTAATTTTAGACAAGTTAGGAGGTGCGGAGCGCACACTTGTACGAAATTAAATTTAAACTTGGTTCGATTAAATGGCGGGGGTCAAGGGGGCTGCGCCCCCTTGCGGGGTCCAAGGGGCAGCGCCCCTGGCGGGGTCTCGCTGCCCGGTCAGCGAGCGGGGTCGAGGGAGGCCGCCCTCGCGGGGCTCGGGGCAGCGCCCCGGACCAAAATTTTATTCTATTAAAGAAATAAATATGGAAATTTATTTTCGGATAAACATGTCCATATTAATTATTTAATAGAATGACTTTCTGTTAGAGTAAAACTCTAACTGATTGGCCTTATCTCTTTGGTAATCAGAAGAATTCGAGTTCTACTAAAACTGCTAGTTCATGGTCTATATATTGGTGCCTCAGTTTTAGACTGTCTCTTAGAGTGATTATCCCCATAATCTAAATTTCGTGTAACCTAGGCATAGGGTCGAAATATTAGATTCGGAAAGTGATCACACGATACTCTGAGAAATCCGCCAGATTTTCTAAAACAGTTTCTCAACTCCCCAGTTTTAACATGGACGAGTGGTTTTGCCATTGGATTTGTGACTTGATGAAGGTGGTTGGTGTCTACTGGAATCCCTTCGCAATTGGAAGCCACTCATTCCAGAAGAAGTGGGATGCTAAGGTTTGGAACTTTGGTGTCTTGGTGGTGCCACCTGACTGACTATTCGAATTCTGTATTTTGCAAGTGAAGAAGACTGTCACTGGAACCTCGAGAATGCCGGGGAAAGAATAAAGGTAGCAAAGTGAAGGAAAAGCATGTCAAATTCCTTTCTACTTATTTATTTGTGTCATATGAAAGCTAAACAATCTAAACATATGTTGAAGTGAATTAAAACATTAATCACGTTTTGGGGACTTTTGGCCAATTTTCAAAAATAAACACAATTGTAAGAAAACTACTTTCTTTAGCATTTTCTTTCGTTTTGTTATTTCCAGTTTATCTAAAATCATAATAATAAATGAAGCTTTCAATACTGGATAGAGTATTCAATACAACTCTGAGAAACGATGTTCTTTCTATTGTTATACTGTGTAAGCGTAAAGTGATAACTACAAAAGAGATTTAATGAGCCTAAATAAGATTGGCTCAAAAATAACTAGTTAATATACTCCGTATTTATAGCAAAAATACAAAGACACACTGAATTAATTGAACACGATAATTATCCCTAACACATTTTCCTAGCGTTTTTCAATACCTAAACATGTAGAACAGTAGAAGACTCCCATTAAAGAACAGCCATTAAAGATTCAGTTATTGGCTTATTGCACGACGAAGGATGTTGTACATAGGGTTGGACTCGGGCCGGGTGGCCTGACCCGGAACCGGCCCGGGACCGGTACTGTTCCGGCCCGGCCCGAACCGGTGGACCGGTCAGTGACCGGTCCGGGTAGGCCCGACCCGGTGGGTTTCCGGTCCGGGCTCGGGTCACCCATAACAAGGCCCGGCCCGGTTCGGGCCAATTTTTTTTTTTTTGGTTTTTTTCATTTGTTTGGGCTCCACCGAGTTGGGCTTGATGTTTAGGAGGGGTTTGGGGGTTTGGAGGGGTGAGGTGAGGGGGGGTCAGGGATGGGTAGCTAAGCAAAAAAAAAAAAAACCAAACCCGAGGCCCGGCCCAGACCCGGACCGGACCCGATGGCTACCCGGGCCGGTCCTGGGTCCAGCTATATAGAACCGCCGGCCCGAGTCCAACCATAGTTGTACACCATATTTCTGCACTATACTTTACTCATCAAGCGTAGACAAGATTTTTGTTATTATAAATGGTGGAAATATGTGTTGGTGAGAGCAAAAGGTAACCATCTTTACAGTTTACGCGGAAAAGGATTTGTGTTCTTGCAAATAAAGACCTTGCCTGCTAAGAGGAAAGAATTTTGCAGCTAGTGTAAAAAATTGTTTCACACCTTGGTGTATCCGTGTATATAAACATCAGTGAGAAGAATCAATCATTTTTTACATCTCAATTACATCTTTCCGCACCAAAATTTGATTGTATCCCACAACTTTAAAGTTGGAAATGCTTGGCATAGATACTTAAGATGAAAATTAATGATATGAGTATATGACCTTGCTGTTGGTGATATTTAGAAAAGGCCGGTGAAAGATTAAATTTACAAAAATACCGTACTCGAATATACATCTGATTGAGTCTGAAAAGAAGACTTCCCTTATGAACCCGTATCGAGATCCTACCAATGAAAATGCATTTGCAGATGATGTTACCTAACACCAAGCTGATCTATGCTACAAGTTCCAGAATACAGTGCAGTGGCACGATGCAGTATATCTTAACCAAGGATACAATACTCATAATAATAACAATCCTATAAAATACAAAGTAAGCTGATCATTTCACTCACAAGAATAACTAATTACAAAATATATACTGTACAGATTTCATTTCAATTACTATTGCTTCTTACATCTTTGACAGAAGATTGCTGATGTTCCGAAGCTCCTTTAAAGCAGCCATAGCTTGTCCTTTACCGGCAAGAACACTCTTGGACAAGTTCTCCAATGGCCCGACTTGAGACTCATCTTGATGAAAAACTTGCTCGATCACCTATACCAAATAAATATAATAGTGCCTATGAGAGAGCATCATCATAGAAAACTCCATATGAAAGACTATTTTCAACACCATAATTCTAAAGGCTTCGATTAACGATTCAAAGTAGGTCAGACGCGACCATACAACAACAACAACATCCAAGCCTTAGTCCCAAAAGATATTGGGGTCGGCTAACATGAATCGATACATGATATCACAACCAAAAGGAAAATTTTGGACTCAGACGCGACCATCTAAAATCTAAATTGGTTTTTTAACTATCACAAACTACACGAATCCAGAATCTATAGTAGCTATCAATAAATCAAACACAGAATTTATGCCTAGACTACTTTTCAAGACATGTGAAACACTCTAAAACACCAATTGTTCTTTGACCAAAATATTTGAGAGTTCCATAACAATTCTGTTCTACTCCTTTCTCTGAGGAATGACACTGACAACAGGGATTGGGGTGGTGTCTCATATAGAGCAGGAGCTGGGCATGCCGGCATGGAGAAAAGAGAGACAGAGGCCCCCGTGGGTTTACTAAAGGCGGGAATGGGCTTGAGTCCACCTTCGTGGGCTGGTTGCGGGCAGTTAAATTATTTTTATTCTTTATTTTTCCTGATTTGTTTCCTATTTGGAGTTAATTAGGATTTCTATTATTTGTTTCCTATTTGGAGTTAATTAGGATTTCTATTATTTGTTTCCTATTTGGAGTTGATTAGGATTTCTATTATTTGTTTCCTATTTGGAGTTAATTAGGATTTTTATTATTCGAAGTAATATGCTTCTTCTGGGGTTGGATGAGGGCATGACTTTGGAGAGAGCTAAGTGGAGTGCGGGTATTCGTGTGGAGGAGTGATCTCGTATCATCTTTTTCCCTCATCTTTTTTCCTTGTTTTTTATCCTTATATATATAAGCATTATTTGTATCCTTTTTATTTTATCATTTTTATGTATATTCAATTATTCATCTCTTTTAATATTATCTTTTTATAATAGCTTATCTTTTTTATCTTTATTTCCTTTCTTTTCCTTTTGGTGGTGATATCATGTATCGATTCATGTTAGCCGACCCCAATATCTTTTGGGACTAAGGCTTTGATGTTGTTGTTGTTGTTGTATTTCCTATTTGGAGCTGATTAGGTTTTCTATGTTTTTGTTTCCTAGTTTGGGAATTAGTAGATGGGTATTTAAACCCCTTGTTAGGATTCATTTTTTACTTATCACTTATCAGTTAGTAAAATTGGATTTCAGCCGATTGGCTATGGGTAACGGTTTATACCGTTGATTATTATTGGGCAACAGTTTCCACCGTTGATTATTATTTTCTGTTTTCATCAATTGGTCCGACCTGCCGGATCTAGTTCCCGCCGGAATGACGAGATCTCACAGCGATCATTTCACGGAGTTGGAGGCCAAACATGCCTTGATGAATCAGAAGCTTGACGCGCAGGGGCTGAAGCTGGACGAGCAAGGCATCCAGCTGGCAGAAATTGCAGCCTCCCTGACTGCGTTCACGAAGGCACTCGGGCCGCCGGAGAAGAAGGAGCCATCGTCGGCAGCCTTCTCCAAATCGCAGCTATGACTAACACCTGCGACAACAGATCGCGAAGCACGGCACTCGCCTTGCTGCCCTCGTTCGAGGGTGAAGACCCTATCGGCTGGATGGCTAGGGGCTAGGGCTGAGCAGCAGTTCAAATTGAACTAGACTCCGGCCGGACGAAAGGTGGCAGCAGTTGTGGTAGCGATGGGCGGGCTGCCTTGCACTGGTTAACCTGGTTAAGGGTGCGGAAGCCTGACATGAAGTGGGTGATGTTCAAACAGGCATTAGTGGCGCGATTTGACTCATGGTTTAAGGGCATTCATTTTAAACGGCTGTCCGGAGTCAAGCAGATCAGGATAGTGGAGGATTACATCTCAAATTTTGTTCAGCTGGCAAGTCTGGTTCCCGAGCTGTCTGATGAACATTATCTGGGATATTTCATGATTGGGCTGAAAGGGCCGATTCGGGGATCCTTGCAGTTGCTGCAGCCAAACAGTCATAGCCATAGCCATGAAATTGGCCAGAGATATTGAGGACAATCTGTCCTTTCAGAATAGAGGCCAGGGGAGCCAATCCTACAATACAGGATCGAGTTCGGGCAATTTTTCACGACCAAGAGGGGGTAATAACATGGCCATGAGCGATGGCAGCATAAGGGGATGGAGTGGCAGCTCTCCTAAAGATACTGAACAGCCCCGGGGACAAATGTGTGCCGGTTTCCAAATTTCAACATTGAGCACAAAGTTGTTTTGAAGGGGGTTGGAATTGATGAATGCAGGCGCTGGGCTTGGAGAAAGAGAGGCAGAGGCCCCTGTGGGTTTACTGAAGGCGAGGACAGGCTTGAGCCCACCTTCGTGGGCTGTGGGCCGTTTAATTAATTTTTATTCTTTAATATTTTCCTGGTTTGTTTCCTATTTGTAGTTAATTAGGATTTACGGAGTATATTATTTGTTTCCAATTTGAAGTTAATTAGGATTTCTATTATTTGTTTCCTATTTAAAGTTAATTAGGATTTCTATTATTTTGTTTCCTATTTGGAGCTGATTAGGATTTCTATGATTTTGTTTCCTACTTTGGGAATTAGTAGATGAGTATTTAAACCCCTTATTAGGATTCATTCTTGCTTATCAGTTAATAAAATTGGGTTTCAGTCTGGCTCTGGGCAACGGTTTCTACCATTGATTATTATTTTCTGTTTTCATCAGTCCTAAGAAAACTTCCTATCACATTGCTTTGCTCACTCATAGCAATATGTTATATAATCACCGCATATGCTTAACTCATACAAAAAACATGAGTAGGTCGAGGGACGCTCTTCCAATCCATAAAGCAGATGCAAATTGTCATGGGTAAAATTCTCTTACTGAGCTAAAGTTCTGCAAACATAGGTGATACGCCTACTAAGATGATCTGGGATAATTAATCGGGACTACTTATTTCTTCAAATCTTAATTTTTCAAAAATGAACTAAACACGTCGAGCCCGATTGTCACTTTGTTCACAAAAAGGCTGCTTCCAATGATATACATACTACCTTAGTTGGCTCAAATGATCAACTGTTTATGCCTTCTCCAAATCCTTTAGAAGGCCTGTGAATAAATGTGTAACAAGCTTGGAGCATCTGGTCTACTTCTCTAGCTTGAAAAGGAATGCTATAATCACTTTACAACTACTCTACAATTGATATACATCACAACTAAATATAAGCACACAATGTTTGAAGCACATTTTTAGCACACCATTTCAGGGTATCTTGCCTGCTATGTTATGTACCTATTTTAGTGTGGCTTTGTAAAGTCCAAAAGAACAAACACATATGTAGTATCTTTTAGTTTAACTTTCAACAATCTCAATTGGATGTGAAGAACTCTAACTATAAGAATATAAATGGAAAATACCTGAATATTTTCAAGCATAGAACTGCCCAAATGTTTCAATGAAATTAATAAATTGTGGTCTATACTCTAACTATAAGAATATAAATGGAAAATACCTGAATATTTTCAAGCATAGAACTGCCCAAATGTTTCAATGAAATTAATAAATTGTGGTCTATACTCTCCCCTTTGCTAGTTCCATTACAATCATACTCATGAGTTGTAGAAGATGCAGCGAGATTGTTCTGGCTGTTTGCATCAAGGGGGGCTTTGTCCACCTCAGAGCCACTATATTTTCCAGATGTCCCTTCACCAGTATTCCGGCCAAACTTCCAAAACCAGTTAAATTTTCCAGACAGAAACTTCCGTTCCTTCGAGAAAGCTGTGGAATTTGCCCCAGATTCATCAATTTGCTCAGGTTTCACAAAAACCCCTTCTAGAGGAAGAGGAGATCCTTCTAAGTTGGCCCTGGATGCTTCAACATTATTGTCCCCGACAGACGAATTCGATGCAACACTGCTTCTATCTGATCCAATCTCCTGATGATTATTATCACTGATAGGGCTAGGTGGGTCAGAAGAAGAAGAAGAATCCCGTTGACTAGACGTCTTTGCACTGAAACACTTCTCAGATGCGCAAGTGAAATCTATGTTACCTCGGTCTTGTCCATTAGCATCAACCAAATCCCTCTGGCCTGCATTCTCTTCATGAACCAGGTTATATTGATCTCCATCAGACCCAAGCTGCCGAGCCAGATCTTTTAACAAACTTCTTCTAACAGCTAACTTTGGTACTTCTCTTACACCATCAACTGTAGATGGGGATGGGTCTGACTCAGTTCTAGACAGGCGCATTTTTACTTTCTCAGACCAAGACTTCTTGTGTGCCGGAACTTGGGTCCGTTCAATACATTTCCTGTTTTCTTCTTCCTTGTGCAGAACTCTCCACTTCTCTTCCCAGTAGGTTTCAGCTAGCAAATTCAAAGGAGTAGTAGTTAAATCCAATGAATGACTATGACCTCTAACTGCTGTTGACCTGCTTCTCTGGTAGATTCCATCATAACTTAGAAATGGAGCCGACTTATTGGCATCCACTGCCAAGCTCTGTAAAGATTTTGCCTTTGCTATCAACTTCTCCAAATCTATATCTTCCGGAAAATTCAGCAACTTCTGCAGGCATGCAGTAGCATTCTCTGTTGCAAGTAGTGAAGATCTCACATTTAGTATCATGGAAACCGCAAAAGCAGATATGAAAGCCCCCCTAGAAGAATTCAGCACAATACAGCCAAATTCCCCTTGACTTTCTGTGGAGTTCTCCAACTTCATATTTTCACATCCAAATATTTCATCCCAGATAATCAAAAGATCTTCAAGTGCAAATTCACGCCCAAAGAGAACACGGAACCAACGTAGTGCAAAATACTGGGGTTCAATACCAAGCTCAACAAGGTGGCTATGGAGAGATGAGTCGACCTGAGAAAGCAAATGATATAGAGCAGCAGAAGCTTCGATGACAGTGGGCAAGCCAGTTTGTGAATTCCCATACGGGGAAGGGGAGAAAAATTCAGCCATAGCAACAGCACCACCAGCACCACTCATTAAAGCATCAAACATACAATAAGCATCATGCTCCATAAATTTCAAAGACAAAAGAACACCTAGCTCGCCTTCAGCACCATATGCATCATTTAGTAGAACAATGGATTGAATCTTGGGATCAAGTTCACCAAGACTACTAGTCTTGACTGGAGTTTTGACAGATTTGTCTTCTTCTCCAAGAGATTCAGAGAACTTTTTGGAATCAAATTTATATGTCAAATCATTTTCATGAAATGAGAAACCATCAAAATTGTCGGTGAAGTGGTCTTCATAAATATTCCTCACTTCAGAGAGATGTTCAATGTCAACGTGGAGAACATATAAGAGTGGGGCCAACAGTTCATGCATTCCTGCAAACCACATCAGAAAAGTTGTAGCACTTAATGATGAGAAAGAGAAAAACAGTTTGAGAATAAATGACTTGTCCTTCGCAAAAATTTGGATACTGAACAAATAATTGGTCATGTTCAATGATGTAGATGTTGATTTTACAACATCATATTTTACAACACCAACTTTTCATATATTTTTTCTTCTATGAAAGTATTATAACGATGACAGTTGCTCATTTGTTCATGAAAATGTTTGACATATAAATTTGAAATGAAGCTCCACATTGAATCAATTAAGGCAGGTGAAATATTAATTGAAGAAATTGAACGGCACTACATCGAATCAAATGATTTTGAATTTCTCAAAGAAAAGAGACACAATTTGCATTCAAGTTAAGACGGATGACACCACAGAAGTATCCATTAAATGGATACTTAGCATACCTTGCCTGTAACCATACCCAGGATGTCCAAGGCACCATAGAAGCAAAATACGCCGCAACATTGCCTGGCATCCAGGGGTTTGGAAATAGCTACCATCCTCAGGGTATAAGCGAGATAAATCCTGGTCAACCATTCTTTCTAACTCAGCATTCTTGAAGAAGCGACCCCAAATGCTATCTACGGACAATTGCAGCATAACCATCAAAATCAAACTTGAATTAATGTATAACTCTATGAATGCTAGGAAAGCAATAGCAAGACCATAGAAACATCAGGGTCAGGGATAAAGTCGTTTAGGAAATAGTAAGGGAAGCTAAAGAACAACAAACATATCCTACCAGGGTTTTGAGATAGTGGATTGTCCATAACAAGATCTGGAGAGTTACTTCGATCCTTGAATACATGTGGATCGATGAGAAGCTGTCTCCTGATAGCAGCATAGCTGGAAAAAAACAGATATGTTAAAGCTACGAATACCTAATACTGACTCGGTTGTTAGTCATGCTTACACATGTATCTGACCTCGTGTACTTTATTTATCTACTGCTCAGTACCTGACCTCACTGAGTTGGGATTAAGACTTGTTTGATGTTCATAGGAAACGTGTGTCACAACAAAAACTCAAAACTATGCATTGAGATTCAGATCAAACTCTAAATATAAGTGCACAAAGGCTAGATGTTTGAGTGAAATGATGATTTCTTTTGTTTCAACGTAGCAGAAAAGAATTAAAAAAGATGGTTTGGCGGCTGAATTCAGGAGATTTTCTACTTGATGTGGTGAACTCATTGGGTATTAGTATTAGTACTAAATATTAACACTAGAGGAATCATATGTATCCTGAATAAGAACGAATTCAGATATGCAAGCAGGAAAATATTATACAACTTCAAGAACTGAAGTAATCTAAACTGCACCATCGAACTGATTAAAAAATGAAACTTGATCATAAAACAATGAGAAATAAGTATGTGTGCCGCATAAAAATCCCATCAAGAACAAAATAAACAAACCTACTTTCTTCTTAAGTCTGCAGTGGCGCGCCGAAGATCTGCCATGGAAGAAGTGAGAGATGAGGGTAAAATCCCCAAATCAATTCGCCATCGCACCCCTCTCATATCGCCCAAACACAGGGCCCTTTGAGGAGATTGAAGAAATGAAGAAGAAGAAGAAGAAGAAGAAGAAGAGTGAGACGGCGTCGTAGGAAACAATGTGGGTTCAATCGGAACGGCCGACATTTTGTTTGCCGCTTTGGAGGCACCGGAATTATGGTTTGAGCCTCGGAACTTATAATAATCATAAAAAATTAGATATAGATCAAAAGCAAAATAATTTTGTATTCTGCTTCAATAAGATTTTCTTATTGATTACAGGTGCGATGGATATAGGTGCGCTGCTAATCTTCTTCTTCAAGAGTGCACGATTGGCACCAAGAACAGCTGTTTGAGAACAAAGAACGAACTAATCTGATTAATTTAATTAATGGGTGTTTCGACCGTGGAAGAAGAGCAAAACAAAAAGGACAGAGAGGATTCAGAGAGCGATTGCTAGGGGCCTATGGCTGCTACTCCAATTCAACTGCTTGTCTCTGGCAAAGCAAAATACGAAGAACAAAAGAAAACAAAAAAAACTAAAAAGAATGATTTTCTTTGGAAAATAGTGACCCGGGAGTTGGTGGGTTTTATGGAACCGTCAACATGTCAAGCTACACAGCATATTCTCCTCCACCAAACGCACATTGTGTATACTGTAGTTTCTACGATGTGTGATGTTGCCCGTCTGCGTATACCATACGTATGGGATACGATCCATGTGTTCTCTCTAAAATTTTGAGAAAAATCTTTATACACAGGGATGGATTTAAGGGACGGAGGCGACGGCTCCCTTCGACTTTCAAATTTTTCTATTATATAAGTAATATTTTCATACTTTAATTAGATATACTCCCACCGTTCTGCAATAAACTTCTCACTTTCATTTTTTGGATGTCCTAGAAACAAGTTCTCATTTCCTTAAACGATAAGTTAATCTACATCAAAATAGTGTCAAAACGTGCAAAATAGTGTCAAACAGTGCAAAATAGTGCCAAACTGTGTCGAAACAGTGTCAAAATAGTACAATTTACCCCATGGTAAGTTTATTTCCTTAATATGTGTGTAAGTCAAACTGTGAAGTTCATTGTGGGAGGGAGGGAGTATATGTTTTCGCCCCCCTTAACTTTTAGTTTTAAAAATTTATATATAGCATTACCACTACAAAAAAATTACGGGATTAGCATGAAATTTGGTACGGACTTACCGATTTTTCGTACCAAATAGCTCGTGCCAAAGTGTTTTTTGGCACGGATTTGGCATTTCCCTGCTAAAATCCCTGCCAAATTCCTGCCAAAATCTCCGCCAATCCCGTGGTTTTTTTGTGTACATAATGTAATACATAATTGGAGATTTAAAAAAAGTAACATCTAAAATAATTTACTTAACTTGAATGAATAAACAATAGCACAACCCATTGTTTAAGACATAGGACATCTATTATATAAGGGGAAAATAATTTAATTACCCAAAACTTTGAAGATGTGTGATGTAAACACCCCAAACTTTCATATGTAATATTTATATCTCAAATTTTATATAAAAAGTAATATTAGTGCCATGAAAATATGTGTTTTCTTTCACAATGTATATTTATGATGCTTTAACTACATCTCTATAAATGTTTAACTATTTTAAAACATGTGCTTAACACCACAAGTTTACATTTTTGAATAAAAACTACATAGTAATGGTGACAACATAACTTTTTATGTAAAGTTCGGGGTATATATATTACACATGTAGGTTTGGGGTACTTAACTCACCCTTTTAAAGTTTGGGGTATTTAAATTATTTTCTTCATTATATAAAAATTTCTAGCTTTGTAATATTTAATTGTCTTTATTAGATAATTAGTACTCAATTTTGTAAAATATCGAACAATATTAAATACCATACACACTAGTTAAATAAATTTTAGATCATGTGAAGTGAATATAAAATATAAATGTTTATTGACATTAAATTACACAATTCATTTACTTATTACTTTCTAAAAACAATTTATTGAATATATAGATAATAAACTTGAACTTACTGTAGCATTAATACAAATACAATATGCACCATATATGTGAATTAACAATACTATGTATAATATTATTCTAGAATAATAATATCACACATACTATTGTAATGTTAAGAAAACTTCTCGTGACCCACGAACACCATCCTTAGTAGACAAAAATTGCAATTCAAAAACCAATTCTTTATTCTAATAAGATCCATATGGATAAACAGGACAGAAGTTATTTAAAAAACTTGGTTGATGTGTACCTTTTAAACTCTTTATCTTCAAATAATTTTCATTTGATTTGTCATTTCTTATGTTTTAATGTATCAATACTTTTTTAGAGCATTTACAATTAAAAAATTAAAATTATTTTTCTATTGTTTAAACATAGAATGTAATATTCTTTCAAAAAAAAATTAGAATGTAATAGATTTAAATATCATCGTGTATGTACCGATGGATTTTTTTGAATGAAAATTAGCCGCAAGGCTCTATGCTAGCAAAAAAAATCGTCCCACTACAAAAGCGGAAAAAATTGCCACGATACACTAGCGAACTTTTTTCGCCCCCTATACTAACAGAAAAAATTCGCCCCCCTTGACTCGATATCCTGGATCCGTCCCTGTTTATACAGAACTAAAATATAAAGGGAAAATTCCCGAAATACGGCTAAAACAGTTTCAAAATTTCAAAATAGAGCTATCATATTTTTTATTTCCAAAATAGGACTAATCACTGTCATTTTTAGAAAATATTGCCATGTTTGAAGTATGGTACTGCCAAAACATGGCAGTAATTAGTCCTATTTTGGGAATAAAAACATGACAGTCCTATTTTGGAATTTTCAAACTGTTTTAGTCCTATTTCGGGTAATATCTCAAATATAAACAGAGTGAATATATAAAGGACTTTTCTTTGAATATTACTAATTTAATGTCAATTTCCAAAAAATATGACAATTTTTACAAAATGACAAAAATGTGACTAAGAATGTCATATATATGGAAAAATATGATGTCACTATTAAATTTTAATGTCACTGCATCCAGATTTTTATGTCACTAGCACTTTTCATGTCACTTTTTAAATTTTCGTGCACGATGTTCGTCGGATAATTTTCATGTGACTTCTCTCGACAAAATAGTGACCTACACGACTGGTCATTGACCACCCAACACCGCTACAAGCCACTTTGAAATGTCACTATGATCACTAGGAAATTTTCCGGCAACTTTGACTACCCTGCCTGGAGCACCAGATCCCAAACCCCTCCCAGCATTCGCCGCTCTTCCCTGCCCCAGCACCAGATCCTAAACCCCTTGTCAGCACTTTCAGCCCTCCCCTGCCCCCAGCCACCGCACTCAACCAGCCACAGCCCCCCTCCCATCACAACCCCAGCCCTGTCTTCAACAATTTCCTCCATCGTCAACAATTTTAGCCAGTAAACTCCATCCATAGCCAGCAATTTCAATTGCAATACACTCATCCTAATCCAAAATAACAAAAAACAAAAGCCTAATCCCGCTCTCCTAATCTCAATCTCAGATGAAGAAAGCTAATCGGATCATTTGCGAGCAACCAAAAATAGAAGAAGAAGATTAAAGGAAGCGGCGACGGGATGCGCAGCGGCACGACAACGGAGCATGCAGGGACATCTGGCGGGCGGCGGTGATGCAGTAAAGACCGAAAGCAGCGCCGATGCAGGGACGTTTGGCGGGCAGCAGCACTGCAGAGTAACCAGCGGCGATGGCGAGGCTTACAGGCGTTGAAGATAAGGTCGAAGGCGCTCGCAGATCTAAGGCACATATGCGATGAAGATGAGGAGCGCTTGCAGTATCCAAAGCTAGAAGAATAGCAGTACAGAATAGTTAGGGTCACATTTGTGTCAATAGAAGATTTGGTAGTAATATTGGAGTCATTTTTTCATATATAAAACTATGATTGTTCTCTTTTCAAAATTGGAATTGTTTTTTGAAAATCAAACAACTAATTTATTACGTGATACTTCTTATTAAAAGATAACAAAGGTGCAAGAGAATGAATAATATAAAGCTATAATGAGATGAGACATGGAATAGAAATTTCTTGCTACTCCAAAGAGAAAATAAAATATTACAACTTGGGCTTCACCGGTCACCCAATACGGAAAATTGATTTCACCAACAACCATCAAAGGAAACTCAATTGAACAAAATTAACTAGATCATTAGTCTGACCAGCTACCGAAAAAATAGATACAGTTCAGTGCTGTTGATGGAGTATATGGCCCAGGAACCCCCGGCCCATAGACTCCCACTACTGTAGCGAAGACCCAACAGGCCCAGGAAGCATGGCAGGCCCAAATTACGGCACCCCAAGTGCCAAACAGCCCACGACGAACACTGGTGTGCCTTCGCCCCCCTGGGCGAAGGCTAATAAACTCACAATGCAACTTCTTTAAAGTACTCAGAGTGTCCGGGAGAAAGCAGCGAAACAGTAGCCCTCGACACCTAGGGCCCCGGTATGAAGAGCCTTCAGCCAATCATCTACGGCCGAAGGCATCTCCTCGACAGAATCTCCCACCCACATGCGCCGGATCAACGTACCAGGTACAAACGTCACATCCAACAACCGCATTTAATGCGGCCACATGCGAGTGTCAGTGTCACCTCGTTGAGGTGACCTCTCTACCACCAGAATGATGAAACGTGTCCCTATCTGGCATTTATTACTACTATAAATAGCACCCCTTTCCCCATTTGTAATTTAAGCTTAATACGCTCACTACATTCTCGGCAATATACTCTCTCTCTCTTACTTATGCTCTGACTTCTCTCTAGTTACTCCCCGCAGTAACCCCTCGGATAGATACCCCCGGGTACACTTATCCATCAACTGTTTTTTTCTTCGAGTCAGGCGGTGGTTCAGGAGGAGGGTGAGTAAGACACAAGAATAATGAATCATTCGATCTGTTACACCGACAAGGATGACACATTCTCTAGACATTTGATGGAGTATATGGCCCACGAACCCCCGTCCCACACACTTCCACTACTACAATCAGGCCCAACAGGCCAAAGTGGCCCAAACACAGCAAACAAGGCTCATGAATGCCCCAGGGGACGTACATCCTTCGACACATGAAGCCCTCAGAGGACGTACATCCGTCCGGTTTCATTTTCCGTTTAAAAATCCACTTGGATCCCAAAGGTTTATTTCCTGGAGGAAGATCAACCAATTCCCATGTGTGATTTTTAAGGATAGAATCCACCTCACTTTTAATGGCTTCTTTCCACATAGGACCTTCAGTAGACGTCACGGCTTCCGTATAAGTCCGTGGCTCATTTTCTACCAAACATGTTAGAAAATCCGGTTCATTTTCTACCATACATGTTAGAATATCCGAGTCAAATTCTACCAGGTAGGTGAGAAAATCCGGTCCGAAGGATTTTTCAATTCTAGCACGTTTGCTACGTCTAGGTTCGGGTTCTTCTCCGGATCCCTCGCTAGTATTTTCCATAGCTACGTCAAATGTTCGTTTTGACGTGCTAGGCCCTTCGTTGGACTTGCATGGAAATACATCTTCAAAGAATGAAGCATTCCTTGATTCAATTATTGTGTTTTTATGTACATCCGGATTATTCGAATCGTACACTAAAA